CCCCCTAGCCTCAGGAAAGCTAACTCTTCCTCCAGCTCAATCTGTTGCTTCTGACTGCGAACTACTCTCCCTCTCCTCGTTTTCTTGGCACAGTTAAGACTGAAGCATATAGTAAAACCCAGTCTTGAAAGCTCGCACTCACGGAGGCCTGTTGAAACAGCCCTCTATAACAACCTCCACTCTTCTGAAGGGAGTACAGAGGAATTGCTTGCTATGACCTGCCAAGGTCAAAATACTGCCTGGCTCACACTTAGATAGATATATGGCATAGGTGTTTGCCGAGGTAGAGATCAGACCCATGTAGCAGAATAGGTATTCAAAGATATAATAGAAGAACTTATTCTGAACTAAAGGGAGGTAAAAAAATCTGCCAGTGGAGAGGGGAAACGGATGTGGAGCTGTCCGTGCACATTCTGGAAAGGTTTCCGGGCCCTTAAAACCCACAGCTCGTGTCCCAAGCCTCAATCTCCATGTGTAACTTTGGCCTCTAGCTTCTCACCTTTATCTTCTCAAGGTTCCTGCCAACTCACCAGTGTGTTAGGGCTTTGGGGACTCAAGGACACAGGGTGGGGCAGCAGTAGGTCGACAGTAGTTTGTATGGAAAAGAATGCAAAAATCAATCAATAATAATAATAATACAAGAATAAGCTCCAGGTTTCGCATGCTCACAACTGTAAACCTCCTTTGCACTACCCTGTACTCTTTTCTTATTCTCTGGCATTGGGAAGCCCTGGGTAGGTAAGATCCAGATGCCAGTTGAACATAAAATGTCAGCTTTATGACAGAGACTGAAGGCTGTGGCTTAGAGCTTTTTTTTAATGCTCTTTAAAAATATATATATCTAGCCGAAACCGGTTTGGCTCAGTGGATAGAGCATCGGCCTGCGGACTGAAGGGTCCCGGGTTCGGTTCCGGTCAAGGGCATGTACCTGGGTTGCGGGCATATCCCCAGTAGGAGAGGTGCAGGAGGCAGCTGATCGATGTTTCTCTCTCATCGATGTTTCTGACTCTCTATCTCTCTCCCTTCCTCTCTGTAAAAAATCAATAAAATATATTTTAAAAAATTATAAAAAATATATACATATATATATATATATCTATATATATCTATATCTATATATATATATCTATATATATATATATATATATCTATTTTAATCTGTTTCAGAGAGGAAGGGAGACGGAGAGAGAGATAGAAACATCAATGATGAGAGAGAGTCATGGATCGGCTGCCTCCTGCACGCCCCCTACTGGGGATCAAGCCCACAACCCAGGCATGTGCCCTGACCAGGAATTGAACCATGACCTCTTGGTTCACAGGTTGATGCTCAACCACTGAGCCACGCCGGCCGGGAAGCAAAGAGCTTTTCAATAGTCCATCCCAGAGTTAAACTCACCCAGTCCCAGGCCCCCCTGCACAGGGCCCAGCTGCCCCATCTGGTTGTCCTCACGTACACACAGACCAGGAGTTCAGGTCCGTGGGAAGCACATCTGGAAAAAAAGAAAGCCTAGAAGAATTGCGCTCTACTCTCTCTCCCCCAGGCTCACTAACCTGAGCAGTTACCCTGCCTCTCAGTTGTCGGGGAAGTGACAGCAAGAGGCCAGGCAGGTTGCTCCTGTAGAGGTGCCCGAGGAATAAATGGGAGCTTGCAGAGCGGAGTGGAGGGTCTCCCTCACATACACACAAAACTGACCTGGGTCCCAGCCTGTATGGCTCAGTGGATGGAGCGTTGGCCTGCGGACTGAAGGGTCCCAGGTTCGATTCTGGTCAAGGGCATGTACCTTGGTTGCAGGCACATCCCAAGTAGGGGGTGTGCAGGAGGCAGCTGATCGATGTTTCTCTCTCGTCATTGATGTTTCTCCCTCCCTCTCCATTTCTCTCTGAAATCAGTAATAATATATTTTAAAAAAACAAACTTATGTGATACTGATGTCAGAAGCCTAGTGGAAATAGAGCTTGCATACATTTCTTTACATAAAAGGAAAAAATAAAATTGTCTTTTATTTGCAGATGATATGATTATTTACCTTAAAAATACCAGGAAATCTATGAAACAACTATAAAAAGTGAATTTAGCGCCCTAACCGGTTTGGCTCAGTGGATGGAGCGTAGGCCTGTGGACTGAAGGGTCACGTGTTGGATTGCAGTCAAGGGCACATGCCGGGGTTGTGGGCTTGATCCCCAGTAGGGGGCGTGCAGGAGGCAGCCGATCCATGATTCTCTCTCATCATTAATGCTTCTGTCTCTCTCCCTCTCCCTTCCTCTCTGAAATCAATAAAAATATATTAAAAACAAAAGAAGTCAGCAGTGAGGCCCTGGGTAGGGCATGGAAGACACAGCTCCCTCCTGTGGTCCCTCAGCCAATGGCTTTCTAGTTCCCTCAAGGCCCTCCGGGGCCATGACATCATTCCTGTTATCTGCCTGGATACCTTTCTGCTGACCTCAGCTTTTCTTTCTGCTGTGAATGCTGCCTGCCATGGGCAGGGGATACTTGAGCCTGGCAGTCAGGCCATGCCCCTAAGGCTTCCTCTCTCCTCTGATTGTTCTGCTAGCCGTCCTGGTGCATGTGTGGGAGGTTTCTTAGTCTGAGGACAGTGAGAGGCAGAAAGGGGGAAGTGGGCGGTGCCTGGCTCACCTTTTCCTGTATGAGATTAGTGTGCCACCTGGGACTCTCTGACACACGTGCTGTCATAACACTAACACGCGAATGATAGTGCGGGGACCTCTGACCTCTACCCTTCCCTTCTCCCGCCCAGTCTCTTTCTCCTCAGCCTGCACCTGTTGGCTTTTTTATTCCTGTTGGCTTTTTTTTTTTTTAAATAAGCAGCTAGCATGTATTGAGTGCCTCCTATGTGCCAGTTGCTGTTATAATCACTTTACGACTATTAACCATGTAATCCTATTACTTATTCTCTCTCTCTCTGCAATTTTTTTTTTTTTTTTTTTTTTTGCAGTGAAGACTAAAACTTTATAGCTCAATTGTATACAGCACAGCTGTGAGGTGGCCCTGGGGCCAGGCCCCTCTGGGGCTCTGGTCCTGGCCAGCCTGCTTTGCGTTGTATGGTAGGCTCTGTGTCATGCCAGGCTGCTCCGGTCTGCTCCAAGGACACATCTCCAGCCGGTGTTTCAGCTCAGCCAGGGAGAGACAGTCTTCAATCCTTGGTGGAAAGAGAAAGTGTACTCCCAGAGCCACAGCTGGGAGCTGGCTTTTATGGACAAAAGTCCATGCTCCTGGTCCCTGATTGGTCAGTCCTCATGCAAATGAGGACTCCAAATTCTTGCAGTTTGATTGGTCCAAAAGGCAGTGCCCTGATTGGTCAGATTAGAGCTGCTCTGATGAGCTGAAGCTGTGGAAATCAGATTGGATGGGGAGAGCCTCAGTCCTATTGGTTGAAGTAGGATTTCCAGAACTTTTTCATAAGGGCTGGCTCAGATCCAGAAACAGTGCAGGCCTCTCCTTGAAGTGCAGTTTGCCTAGAATGGCTGGTTGGCTCTGTTATTGGGGTGTTTGTTTGTTTTTGACTTTGAGCCCCGTTAGCCAGCAGGAGCCCTTCTTGGTAGGTGTCTTCTTTGTCAGGGTTCACACTTCCTTATTTTGTTCACTGTCTGTCTCACCCTCTTTAGAGTGTAAGATCCATGAGGGCAGGGTTTTTGTCTGTTTGGTTCATTACAATACCCTCTGCACCCAGATATTTACTCCCTTTTAATAGCAGTGAAAACTGGCTCAGACACTTCAGGGTCTTGTACCAGGCTACACAGCTCCAAAATGTTCATCTCCTTTTTTTAAATTGTTGATCATTTTAATACTGATTTTTAGAGAATGCTCGAAATAGCCAATGTCCTCAAGTTCTCCTGCAGGGGTATTTTCTTGGAGGTGGAGTGGGGAGATGCTTAGCAGGCACCTTGAGTGTGGAGGCTTACCTGGTAAAAGTTGGGGCCCTCAGATCAAGGCTGGTTTAGCACAGAGGGCATTAAAAAACAAGACTGTGCTGCCCTAACTGGTTTGGCTCAGTGAGTAGAGCGTTGGCCTGCGGACTGAAGGGTCCCAGGTTCGATTCTGGTCAAGAGCATGTACCTTGGTTGTGGGTACATCCCCAGTAGGGGTTGTGCAGGAGGCAGCTGATTGATGTTTCTCTCTCCTGGACGTTTCTAACTCTCTATCCCTCTCCTTATCTGTAAAAAATCAAAAAAATATATTTAAAAAACAAAAACAAGGGGGTGCTTTCCAAGGCTGAGTCAGTGAGGGGCTAGAATTAGAAGGTTCTGCTAATGCATTCTGTGCCGTCGTCATTTCCAAGTTCAAGCTCAGGGGCTGGGGATCGGGAAGAGAACAGAAATCGCCGGACTTCACCTTCAGATCCTTTTTGGAACAAGACAAGTAGATACAAACCAATAAAGAAAACCACAAGGGCTCCCCCCACCCACTCCCTAAACCGCTAGAGCAAGCACCCTTTTGTCTGCTTCGTTCATTTCCCCGGCCTTTCCCTGGCCTCCCGCAGTCCTGGGGCAGGACGGTCCTCTTTAGGACCATTCAATAACTCGTTCAATAACTTTTACTTGGAACAGATCCTTTCGTCAACACGAGAAAGACTCTGTTTGGAATAAACCTTCATGGAGGTCAGTCGATTGACCTGTGAGTGTCAGGTCGGGACACGTGGGGTGCGCGGAACATTCTCTCCAGCGGAGAACGGTACAAGCACACAGCGCAGCCCTGCCCTGGCTTCTCTGGTGGCCAAGAACCCCGTGCCTCCCACGGAGAACTTGGGTTCGGGATGCTGGGTGGCAAGGCCACACTTACAAAAGTGACCGGTGTGTCCCCCAGGGCTGTCTGTAATTTACCTGGGAGAGGCGGCCTCGTGAATGAAGACCCTAAAGAGGGGTGAGGGGGTGGGGGAGTGACTGTGCCAAGAGGGGGTGACGGCAACGGTAATGCGCCCTCTATGAGGGCTGCGAGCAAGCAGAGGGGATAAGATAGTTAGACCACGGGTGGGCGTGGGGTGGGAGCGATGAGTGAGGGATCAGATCAAACCTCACAAAACAGGAAGCGCCCTGCAGGACAGGGTTGGCCCGATGGGTGCCCCCGGCCTTCCCGGGTTAATGAGGAATCTAATGCCAGCGGCTGGTGTCTGTGCACGTAGGCCCCGGCGGCCACGTCCAGGACAGCGATCACACCCAGGAGCCGGGCCCTTATCGCTGAGGGTCAACAGTCAGGCTTTGCAGCTGGAAGGGCTTGGAGAAGCCAGTGGCTGGTGGGGTGGATCCTACCGGCTTGGGGCCAGGACTGGGGGTCTGGGGAGGGGAGTGACCTCCAGACACGCCCCCTCTTCTCTGTAGCTCCCCGCTGTGCCCCAGAGGGACAGCCATCGGCGGTGGCCGCCCGCCAGGGGCCGCGAGGGAGGGGGAAAGGCCACCGCCGAGGCGGCGTGCGCTCTCTGTAGATACGGCCGCCGCCCGGCCCCCTCCTGTAGACTCTGGCCGCAGGGACCGGCGAGCCGCTCCATAAAGAGCCGGGCGCAGGCAGGGCGGCGGGACCCGAGGCGGTGCGGGCTCCGCGGGGTCGGGGTCGGGGCGCAGGGCCGTGCGCGCTGCGCTGCGGGGACCATGGGCCGCTACTCGGGCAAGACGTGCCGCCTGCTGTGCATGCTGGTGCTCACCGTGATCTTCTTCGTGGCCGAGCTGGTGTCGGGCTACCTGGGCAACTCGATCGCGCTCATCTCCGACTCGTTCAACATGCTGTCGGACCTGATCTCGCTGTGCGTGGGGCTGGGCACGGGCTCCCTGGCGCGCCGCGCGCGGCGGGGCCCCCGCGCCACCTACGGCTACGCGCGCGCCGAGGCGGTGGGCGCGCTCAGCAACGCCGTGTTCCTCACCGCGCTCTGCTTCACCATCTTCGTGGAGGCGGTGCTGCGCCTGGGGCGGCCCGAGCGCATCGACGACCCGGCGCTGGTTCTCATCGTGGGCGCCCTGGGGCTGGCGGTCAACGTGGTGGGGCTGCTGGTCTTCCAGGACTGCGGCGCCTGGTCCTCCTGCTGCCGCCGCCGCCGCCGTCCCCCGCCGCCCCCCGGGGCCCCGGGAGCCTTGGGGGGCCCGCAGGGAGCCGCCCGCGCAGCCCCCAGCCCGGACTCGGCCGTGACCCTGCGCGTGGGAAAGACCGCGGAGAAGGGGGCCACTGTGTTCGCCAACGTAGCAGGTGCCTTTCGGGTGCAGCCTCCACCGCCGTGCCCTCCCCATCGCCCCCAGCGCGCCCTCTTTCGCTTCCCCCCTCTCCCCATTTCCCTCTGCAGTCCCGCTCCAGACCTCTCATGCTAAGCCAACATTTCCCCCACGGTTTCTTTCCATGCCCACGACTTCTGTTTTCCTCCTGGACCCGTGGGCCCGCTTTGCGTGTATTCCCTCCCCCCTGTTCTTTCTGTACAGTATCGATTGTCTTGGAAATTAGTTATTATTGGGCAACAGATATCACGCCCCTCCCCTCCCCCTTCTTCAGATGCGAGCTGCACTTCTCTCTCTCCTCTTTTACTCCCACCCCCCATCCTTTCGTTCCCCTGGAGTTATGGGTTTTGGGGTGGAGATGGGCTTCCCCACTTGCCTCCTGGTGTTACAATTGTTTGGAAGTGTGAATGAGTCCAAAGGTGGATCCCAAGGCTCATGTCAAGGCCAGCAGGGCCTGTTCCTGGCTCTGAGCCGTGTGTGTGTGTGTGTGTGTGTGTGTGTGTGTGTGTGTGTGTGTGTGTACAGGGGTGGGGGGTCAGATAAGCTGGGAGGAATTTGAAAATAACAAGCCTTTTTTTGAGACCATTGGTTCTTTTTGTTTGTAGAACTTATACACAACACAAGGTTTCTTCTTTGAATGCAGGTGACTCCCTGAACATCCAGCACGAGCCGGAGGAGACGATGAGGAAGGAGAAGAAGTCGGAAGCCCTGAATATCAGAGGTGGGGTTGCCCTTGGGCCGACTGGAAAGCCTTTCAGGGCTACACCTGGTCTGCGCTGGTCCCTTCCCTTTCTGTTCGCCTTTGAGCCGGTTAGAAAGTGGGCAGGCTGCGACCTGTAGACTCTGACCCGGCTCTTGCCTCATCCCCGCATCGATTGCGAGGGAGACACTCATTGCTCACCATTGACCCTTGCTCACTGAGACCTGCCCCAGCGCTGCCTGCTCAAGAACTTCACAGATCGGTGACACGCTCCCATTTCTCTTGGTTTTGCCCACCCGTGGGCGTTGCTAACCTACAATGCAGCCCATTTTCACTGAATGTCATTTTGATAAGGTGGGAAGTGAGTAGGCGGGCAGCTATCCCAGGTGGCATTGCTGAACTGACCCTCATGGCCCTTCTGTGATGGGTCTTGTTGACTCACTTGAATCGCCACCTCCAGGTCCAAAGTGGGGGTTCTGGGGAGACACGTGGAAGGCACATCCCTAGCATTCCTCCTACCAAGAGCTCAAGGTCACAGTGTTGGGCCAAGGTCAGCCCTGGGGGTTCAGAGGTGCCTTTCTCATCAGGCACCAACATCTCTCCTTTCCAACTTTTCAGACAATGACTTTGCTTTGGGTCAATGCCCAACCTTGATTTGGAGAATTTCAACAAAGACCATGCTACTACCTTTTACTTTCAGGTGGTTTGGGGAAGCCTAGGGCTTAGATGGAAATAATATGAAGAAAAATTAATAATCCAGGAAACGTCTTTGTTTTTGAGAGTCTCACATCTGTTTTACAAAATGATACCCGGGGTGGATCTATAGGGAGATCAGAAAATAACAACACGTGAGCTCCTAAAAACTCTAAATGAATTAATTTTAGAAATGTAACTACAACAGAGGGATTTTTAAAAATATTTAATTATTTAGGTTTTATTTTGTCATGAAATTAACTAAGGGGAAGCTCTTAGAATAGAACAGGATATGTAGACATTTCTAAATAATGAATTAACATTTTTAAGCTCTGTAGTCTTACACCCATAGAGTCAACCAATGATGATGAAGGCTTTAAGCTTATTCAATAGTTTTGGGGTTTGAAATGAGATATGACTTAGTGACATGATTTTTGTTCTGTACAATAGATAATCTGCTCTTCTCAGGAGTTGGGAAAGTTTCTTTTTCAAGATCTTTAGTCCCTCACCCACTATTTTTATTATTTTTTTTTAATTTTTAAAAATGTTATTTTTAAACTACAGTTTACATTCAATATTATTTCGTATTAGTTTCAGGTGGACAGCAGTGTGGTTAGGCACTTGTATACTTTATAACAATAGGAGACTTTCTAAAGAGCTTGGTGGTGAGTCTTTTTGGAAAGAGAATCTGTAATAAAAAAAAAAAATCATTCTCCTGCCCTAACCGGTTTTGCTCAGTGGATAGAGCGTCGGCCTGCGGACTCAAGGGTCCCAGGTTCGATTCCAGTCAAGGGCATGTACCTTGGTTGTGGGCACATCCCCAGTAGGGAGTGTGCAGGAGGCAGCTGATCGATGTTTCTCTCTCATCGATGTTTCTAACTCTCTATCCCTCTCCCTTCCGCTCTGTCAAAAATCAATAAAATATATTTTTAAAGAATCACTATCCTTTTACTTATCTTGCTTTTAGGTTCAGTTTAAAAAAACAGATATGTTAGGTTTTTAAGATCAAGTTCGCCATCTCCTCGCTTTAACTCTCTGAAATCAATAAAAATCTATTTAAAAAAAATTGAATCTATCCTGCCGTTCTTACCCAAAAGAAAACAATCTTCACAGACGTGGGACCCCAGCCCGGAGCGTCACGTGGCCCCTGAACTTGGACGTGTGCATTAGGGATCTTGCTTTCTTCCGGCAGGTGTGCTTTTGCACGTGATGGGCGACGCCCTGGGCTCGGTGGTGGTGGTGATCACGGCCACCATCTTCTATGTGCTACCCCTGGGCCAGGATGACGACTGCAACTGGCAATGCTACATTGACCCCAGCCTGACCATCGTCATGGTGATCATCATTTTGTCGTCTGCCTTCCCGCTCATCAAGGAGACCGCCATCATTCTGTTGCAGATGGTCCCCAAAGGGGTCAACGTGGAGGAGCTGAGTAAGTCAGGCGGGTCTGACCTAGAACCACTGTCCACTTCCTGTTCTCCAGGCCAAAGGGCCCGAGTTATTTCAGAGCCTCAATTATCCCTATCAGCGGTAGAGACATCCCTTATCCCTTGGAGCTTCGTGAGATGAGTCACAGCTCCCAGAACCAAAGGTCCTTTGCAGCCTATCATTCTGTGACTCACCTGCACATTTTTTTTAAAATATATTTGTTTATTGATTTTAGAGAGAAAGGGAGAGGGAGAGGTTGCTAAAACATCAATGATGAGAAAGAATCATTGATCCGCTGCCTCCTGCAGGATCGGGGATCGAGCCCACACCCCGGGCCTGTGCCCTGACCAGGGAATCGAACCGTGACCTCCTGGTTCATAGGTTGATGCTCAACCACTGAGCCACATCAGCTGGGCTGACCTGCACATTTTTTGAGAATGTAGTGCTCAGGCAATTCCTGTTCCTGGGCTACTTACCTGGGCTACTTACCTTCATGTCAAGGATTTATTTTCATCCAAATAAGGTGAACTCCATTTTTATTCTCCCCATTCTGAAACCATGAATCTCTTGTGTTCTAGATCCTGCTTTCAGGTTAATTGATTAAAAAAAAAATTTTTTTTTTTTAAATTGACTTTTAGAGAGAGAGGAGGGGTGAAGGAGAGAGAGAGAAACATTGATGTGAAAAAGAAACATCGCTCAGCTGCCTCCTGCACGCCCCCTACTGGGGATGGATGCCTGCAAGCCAGGCACGTGCCCTGACCTGGAATCAAACTGGCAACCTTTTGGTACATGAGACAACACCATCACCTGAGCCACACTGGGCATTTTTTCTTGTTCTTAAGCTTATTTTCTTGAATTGCCTTTTATGGCCTAAAAATATTTGGTAGAGGAATTCCAAGAGGAGAAAGAGGATGATGGGGCCATGTCCTTGTATAGCTGAGTAGTCGGTGAGGCTATTTTTCTTCCTGTTATTCTTCGTAAATACATCATTTTGGTGAGAACGCTTCAAGGGACCACACCCCCCGCCCCTGAAGCAGTTCCATGTCTCCGTTCCAGCTCTCACCCGGGCTGTCGCTTGCTCTTCCCTGTCTGTCCTAGTGAGTAAGCTCGCGGCCGTGCCGGACATCAGCAGCGTTCATGAACTGCATATCTGGGAACTTATAAGTGGGAAGATCATTGCCACCCTGCACATCAAGTACCAGAAGGACAGGGGGTATCAGGACGCCAGTCTGAAAATTCGAGAAATTTTCCACAGGGCGGGAATCCACAGCGTGACCATCCAGTTTGAGGCCGTGGACTCGCCGGAGTCCCTGGAGCAGAAGGACACGCTGTCCCTCTGCAGCTCCCCCTGCATCTCTAAGAGCTGTGCCAAGCACCTGTGCTGTCCCCCCCGGGCACTGCCCGTGGCCCACGTCAATGGCTGTGCCGAGCACAACGGCTCTCCCCGCCTAGACATGTACCAAAGCCAAGGCCGCGGTAGACCAGAACTCTCGGACGTGGCGATTGAAGTATCTCTGGATGGCCGTGGGAGTGACCATGGACAAACTTTCACCAAAACTCAGGGGGACCAGTGTTATGTCAACAGCACACATTTTTAACCCTGTCCCCGCATAAGCAGACTGTATAGACGGAGGCACTTTGGACCTACAGCTTGGCTTGTGGGAGTCCGTGTAGGCACTGACCAAACCCACGGTGTACACTCTGTGGTCAGGGAGGGGTTGGCAGTGTGGGGTGTTCGTTGACCGTGCCTGTGAATTTTTACGGGACTGACAAGGTAACCCATTGCGTGGTCCTGGAGGCCTCATGCTGCTCTCCAAGAGTTTTCGTTTGCTCATTGATTTTTCTGAAGCAAACTGCCCTGGTGTGTGAACGTCAGGGGCACTGAAGGCGGGGACTCAGCGACTGTGGACACGGGACTCAAAGTAGCTTTTGTTTGACACCCATTAGAGCTTCCAGCTGACCCTCAGGGGAGCTCATGGCCAAGTATATCGCACAGACTTAGGAGCCATGATGGCTGTTTCTTTGTTTGTTTGTTTGTTTTTTCCATTCCACTGGAAGATTATAAAAGAAGAAGAATAGTCTTGCCACTGCAGCAATTTTTTTCTTTGGCTTATTTTTGAATGAATGTAAAATGGAGACCAATTAAGGAAGAGACCACTTTCAGAACAGGAGAAAAAGTGGAGTTTATGGGGGGGGAGCGGGGAGAGAGCAGGAGGAAAATGCTATTGGGCCATTTCATTGTGTGAGGTGGAAAGAAAATGAATGTTTACTTTCTGCTGTGAACTGGGCGTTTCAAATGTTTAAATATATATACTATTTTCCTTTTTTTCACTTGGAAATATAGGAATATTTCTACTTAAGTATGACACAAGTACTTTCATACTGTCTTTGAGATTCAGTCCATGGGGACTGTTTTCATTTATTTGCTTAATAATGACTTACTTATTTGTCCAAATTTCCTTTGAGTCTTTTTTTTTTTTAATATATGATCACATTAATCTATGAGGCATTTACCAGGAGAAAAATGAGCATTTCTGGGTAGAAGAATATGTAATATTCTGTACTCATTCCTGCACCCGAATTAAGCTAGGTTGATTTTTCTTGAATGAGACATATTTAAAAATATTTATTACAATTGGCAACTAATAACTTGATGGAAAAATATATGGAAATGAGAAGGAATTTTATTGCTGACTTTACCAAATGTGTTTGGAGGAGCTTAAACTTTCATGTGTCTGACCCGTGTTACCAAGTTCAGATACATTTTTTAGACTCTGATTCGGATCCATAACCATAACGGGCCTGTCTTAGTATTGGAGAAGCATCTGCCGTGCATTTAACACACAGTCCAGGCAGAATACTTTCATCAGAACTGTCTCAAAATAGGTTTGAGAAAGTGGGCGGTACCTCACCAGAGAACTAGAATCTTCTTTGATGGGTTGCAAAGTTGACCGAAAATGATCCCCTCTTAGGCCCTTAGCATTGAGTCCTGCACAGAATTTAACAGAAAAAGCACTCACATCTCCCAGCACAAACATCACTAAAAAAATAAATAAATAAATAAAATTCTAAGACTAAAATAAGTAAGCCATCTATCCTTAGTAGGATAAGAATAGTTTTATTCCTTGAAAGTCTATTATCTGAGTTTAAATCGGCCATGAGTTAGGTAAATTAGAAAAATACCTAAATATGTTTTATCTCTAGGAGTTTATTGGACTAGGCTATATATATGCTTATTGCTAAAATATATGACATCATTTTATTTTTAATATTAAAAGTGTGGCAGGTACTCACACAAAACAGGGGCTTTGGAAACTCACCATGGTGATGCGTGGACCCAATTCTCCTGGATAGATGTTATTTGAAAGGCCCTTCCGGAGCCAGAGAAGAAATTTGTCTCTTCCTCCCCAATGTGAAGGTCTAATTTGATTTCAGGTTACTCTGCTTTTATTAAAAGGGAACAATGATAATTTTCTAACTTTTGTGCTACTGGCTACAGGAATGCATATCTATTTTCTGGAATTATTGCACTTAATTCCAATATCATGAAGTCTGACCTCAGAAAAGTATCTAATGAACATAGCAAATGATGCAGTAGGGCCGATGTGACATAATCCCATGGTAAGACATTTTGACTGAGTGCATTTAATAATGTCCAAGCGAGCGAAGCAAGTGCAATGTTTTCTTCTTTTTTTAAAAATATATTTTATTGATTTTTTACAGAGAGGAAGGGAGAGGGATAAAGAAATAGAAACACTGATGAGAGAGAAACATCAATCAGCTGCCTCCTGCACACCCCCTACTGGGGATGTGCCTGCAACCAAGGTACATGCCCTTGGCTGGAATCGAACCTGGGACCCTTCAGTCCGCAGGCCGATGCTCTATCCACTGAGCCAAACCGGTTAAGGCAAGTGCAATGTTTTTGTGACGAGTTCGGTGCTTTCTTACCATCTGAGGCCCTGTGGTGCCTGCTGTGGGTGTTTCTACTTGGGGTTCCCGAGGCCTTTAGTTGTCCTGCATTTTAATCCTCCCCAGGAAGTGCCAAGGGCTTCTTTCTCCCTTTGAAATGGCCCTGCTTGGTGGCAGTAGCAGCTGATAAACAGTGGATTTAAACAACTCTGTTTTCATCTCTGAGATAAAAAAAAAAAAATACTGTCACTCAGTTTAGTGTCCCTCTGTACTTAGGTGAATTCCAGAAAATTCTGTCTCCCTTTTATTCAGAACTGGAAATGATTTTCTAAAACGCCTAGGGCAATGTCATCCCTGCATGCTAGCCTGGAAGATGCAGGGATGACATTTTGCATTGCTCCTCAGTCCTCCTATTTCTCCAAAAAGAGTCCTTTCCACAGAATTCCAGCACAGCTGCAGGAAATACTACATCCACTTTTATTTGCCAACTTTCCATTTGTTTTTGAAAATAGAACTTAATTTTTTTTTATGATAATTGGCCATCATGAATATCCATAGGGCGACCAGGCTCCATTGCTGATGGAAAAAAAATGTGTTATCCCTCTATTTTTTTGATAAAATATTAATAAAATAGAGAAACATTGAAGAGCAATTAAAGATAGTCTCCATATTTAGTTACTTTTTATTTTTTGCCACCAGCTAACTGAATTCTAGTTGGAGTAAATCAGAATTTCAGGAGGAATGGGTGCTTTGAACCTCAAAGAATTTACTGAGGTCGATTGTGGATTATAATACAGCAGCTGCCCTGTGAGGTAGTAAGGGCTTTGGCTCTGCTTTATCAGTCTGGGCTTTGCTGACATGTTGACCTGGCTGATTCCTGTTGTGTGCTGCTATCTTGTGCATTGCAGAATTTTAGCAACTTCCCTGGCCTCACCCACAACATGATAGTATCACCTACCCCCCACCCCCATTGGACAACCAACAATGTCTCCAGACATAGCCACACGTCTCCTGAGGGGGGAAATGGCCCTCGTTCGGAACCACTGACTCAATCCAAGGGTGCTAGAGGGATATTGTTGACAAAAACCCTGCCAACGCCCAGTAATTCTTGTAATATAATCAATTCTGCAGAATTCTCTGTTTTGTAATATATTGTAAAAGAGGAGATCAAACTATTTATAAAAATTATAATTTATAAGAATTATAAATTGTAAGAATTATAATTTATAAGAATTACAATCATGCCGTCTCTATGTAAGAACTTTAGATATTTAAAGAAAAGATATAATTTGTGCAAAAGGCCTTACAAATTTGACTGTATAGATCCGTCACAACGACGTGGAACGAAATGAAGAAAAAAGCATTGCTCTTGCTGGTCTGTGATGATCTCTTCAATTCATGAATGTTCTCAACCTGATGCACCCACTGCAAAGTGGGACCCAGTGATGTCAGACCATTGGGTCCTGGGGTCAAGGTGCCTAATTCTCTGCCAGTTTTTTTTTTAAAATATGTTTTTATTGATTTCAGAGAGGAAGGGAGAGGGAGAGAGAGATAGAAACATCAATAAGGAGAGAGAATCATGGATCGGCTGGCTGCCTCCTGTACGCCCCTTACTGGGGATCAAGCCTGTAACCTGGGCATGTGCCCTGGACTGGAATTGAACCCAGGACCCTTCAGTCCGCAGGCCGATGCTCTATCCACTGAGCCAAACCAGCTAGGGCTCTCCACCAGTTTTAAACTTCATGGTGTTTCTTGTTATTGGTCCCTGACAAACAACTTTGCATTCCAATGGGAATAATCCAACAAGGACGATTTTTTTTTTTTTTTTAGTACCCAGGACAAATTCAGCACTAAAAATGTTAACACAAGTCTTTATTACTTATGGCTAACCTTTGTCAAATCCTATCCATTTTTTTCCCCAAGAGGACAAAATGCATTTCCTGCTTTGCAAGTATCTTGCCTTTAAAAGTATCTCCACACTTTTGTAATTGAAGACTGCAAAAAAATAGGGTGGGGGGAGATGGTTTGGAAAAAAAAATGGGGAAACATGACTTGCTTTGTGTTTGGAATTTAGACTGAGGAATGGTCACTGACCGATTGTCAGGTCTATTGCCATCATAGCCCTGACACATGGTCACCTATTTGCGCCTCTCAGTATGTTTGCATGTGAGTAGCCCCAGGAGTGAAGTAGGAATTGAATCAGGAAATTGGTTGCTCAAATGGAACTTGCCTCACACCGTACCCCTTCATGTAACCTAAATGTTCTTAGGAATTGGGAGTTTATGCAGATGTAGCCTTTTCTGGAGCTTCCCTTTTTAGATGTTTTATTCTGGACTCTCTTGTTTACACGGAACTTTCTTGAATGTTGCTAGATGGATGGACCGTCTCCGCTTGGTCCAAAGCCAGGCCGGAGACTGGGTACCTGCTTTGCATCCTAATGGGAATAATCCAACAAGATGAGGATGTTTTTCCTGGGAGAGCTAGGTCTCAAGTTATGTTACAGTATTGTGGAGTTTTGTTGCTTCTAGCCCTCCCTCTGTCCCCACAGGCGATGTTTTGCCACAGTGTCATTGTCACATTTTTTTTTTGGGGGGGGGATTAGGAAAATGCTAAGATATGAAGTTGAAAAAAACTCAGTGCTCATTGTAAGTGAAGTCCCCCAGTCCTGTATGCGTACCGCCGACAGTGAATGGTGTTCGATGGTGCTGCAAATAAACATTTTGAAAAGTAAACGCACGGCTGAGATGTTTGTGGGAATTCAACAGGCAGCTCAACGCCTTTGTCGCTTTCTCTAGTGGGTTTACTTATTTATTTTACTGATTTCAGAGAGGAAAGAAGAGGGATAGAAAGATAAATGACGATAGGAAGATAAATCATTGATCGGTTGCCTCCTGCCCACCACACACTGTGGATAGAGCCCGCAACCCAGGCATGTGCCCTGACCAGGAACCTCCTGGTTCATAGGTCGACGTGCAACCACTGAGCCACACCGGCCGGGCCCGCTAGTCAGTTTATCACTCAGTATCTCTTTAGGTTGGTTTTACTAATGCGAGTCTTATTTTCTGTCCCTGTGCCATAATCATGTGTTCCAAGACTGAGCCAAAGTGTTTTTTAAGCTCAGATGCAAGATACAAGTTTGCGTGGATTTATAACCACAGGGCTGGTGACATTTTGCCTACGTTTTCTCAGGGAAGTGGGGGCGGGGGAGGAGAAAATTCTCCCAGTGGCCTGTGCTGATACAGGCTTGCAGTGGTGACGAAAACGACCAGGGTTCTTATCTGCCTCAGAAGACTGGGGGCCTAGAGACGGGCCTGCTGGAAGGCTGTGAGTCTGTGGCTGTAATTTCATGTTCAGAGATACACAGCATAAGCTAATATGACTTTTAAAAAAAATATATATATACATGCATTTTATTGGTTTCAGAGAGAGAGAGAGAGAGAGAGAGAGAGAGAGAGAGAGAGACATCAATGATGAGAGAGAATCATTGATAGGCTGCCTCCTGCATGCCCCCTACTGGGGATAGAGCCCAAAACCCAGGAATGTGCCCTGACTGGGACTTGAACCTGTGACCACACCAGCCAGGAGACTTAATAAGTCCGATCTATAAAGTGGGAGGAATGAAGCAAGGCTCAGGCTTGAACTGGCAAAGAAGCAGGATTTGGGGGCTGGAACACGCCATATTCCCCTGGGCAGGATGGTTCCCCTGGTTCTTTGTCCGTTGGAGTCGAAGAATGGATCCACGGACGGGAGATGGTATGGCAAAGGTGGAAATTTATTGAAGAACAAGTACAGCCTCCCACGTGGGGAGGGGGAAAGAATTTCACTGCACAGACTCCCACGTGGGGAGGGGGAAAGAGTCCCACAGTCTCTTTTTCCACAGTTTATAAAAGCTGTACATCTTTATGCCTTGATATCCCCCCTGATTGGTCACTATTTCCCTAGACTGGTTACTATAGTAACTCCTGAGCTCAAAGGTGGAACCTCACAGGGGACAAGTGAGGTTCTCCACCCCCCCATCCTTATTGTTTTCCTATTCCCTTTGGGCTTTCTTCTTCTCTGAATGAGGGGATTTCTTCCCTTTATTTTGTAAATATAGACCTTCTGCTGTTCCCAGCTCCCTCATTCTATGGAAATGCACCTCTTGCAGCTTTTCATCTCCCTTATTCTATGGACATATACCTTCTGCTGCTCTGCAGCCCTGTGCTTCTTCCATGGTCCCCCTTAATGTCTAAAATTTCCTAAACCTGTCTTTTTCACCCCCTAAAAATTCCTGTTTCAGTAGTCACTCAGATTGTCCCGGACAAGGGGGATTGACTGGTAATTTTGTGGTTTGCAGAGTGTTCTTGTTTTTGTCTGTGCTTGGACCAGAGGACAGAGGGGCCTCCTGTCTGGCTGGGTCTGGTGTTTGAGAAATGGGGTTCGACAGGAGACTACCCCAGCCCAGCCCTGAGTGCCGGGCCAGTCCTAGGGACACCCTGACCCAGGAGGGTCCGTTTCCTGAAGTCACGGGGCCTGCTTGTCTCTTAATATATTTGTTGGTGCATTTTATTGGAGCAGTTATGAGTGTTGAAATCCTGGTTACAAGGCCACTAAGAAGTGGTGAGACTCTGGGCAAGTTACTTGGAGTGTCAAGATCCCCCACACTTTTGACGTGAGGAAGGGTACCCATTTGCAGGGGTGCTGTAGCTGTCCCACCAGACCCTGCATGTTCGTGGTGGAGGGTCAGTGATTTCCAACGCCAGCTGATTTTGTGGAGCCCTCTGTATACGTCTGCCTCCCTGACCATCTCATTTCAGAACATACATCAAATGCACTGTCTTGTTTTGCCTCGTTTTTATTTCCTTCCATCAA